AGAGAGAGAGAGATACTTTTGATTAGCGGCATTTAAACGCATTTTTGTATTTTAATAATATGTAGATTGAATATTGCTATATATTTTTGCATAATGATTGGAAAAAAATGTGTTAATGATTGTAATTTGCATGTAATTTTCAGCATGGTGATGACAGGAAATGCTAAACTATTCTCTATCGCAAGTAATTGTTTAATGTAGAGAATGTGTGGAATGAAATATAAATAAGAACAGTTATATTATCATAAAATTATCTTATTAATGATTATATCATTTAATTTATCTAATATGAAATTGTGAATATGATAATATTCTTTCGAAACATGGAAATCATGGAAAATTATATATACCTAATCATTGATTAATTATTTTGATTATTGTTATAAATCTGTTAGAAAGATATTAAAATCGGTAAATGTTGTGCATTTTTAAACATTCTTATATTTTAATTTAAATATAAGTATTATATTTTGTTATTTATATATGGAGAAAATAAAAATGGCAATTTTTTTTCTTTAACATCAAACAGATTTGTGCAATATATACTGTACATATACATGCATTGATAAGATTGATAATTAATTTAATATGTCTTGAATAACATTTATGATAACAATAAAAATAGTAGTTTAATTTTACATAATTGGTCCATCTTTGCTAATTCACAGTTTAATGTAATTATTCTTAACAATCTCATCTTTTCATGCTTAGACGAGAACTGATAATCTCTTCGTATTTATTTCGTACTTATGTTGTGTGCGTATTAGTGGAAATGCAAAAACTAACTCGCCTCAACACAAGTCTTGTTACTCCTAACAGAAAGAAATCACAATAACACCATTCGAATTTCTACCTTTGATTAATATCCTTGTCAAATTTCGTAAACAAGAGATATTCACATTTAGGAAAGGAAAAGTTTTCAGATTCTTATGTATATATGCAATTACATTTTTATAAATTATTTGAAAATATTACTTTCAATGCGGAGAGTGAAGTTATCTTTACATTTCTAATTTCCATCATTTTAGAATTACACAAATTGTGTAATTTGGAGTAAATTTTCAGTGCCATTATATGAACATAATAGGTAAAAATGTATGAAACTCCAAGTTGCTCTGATGTTGTGTATAATATATTGTACATGTGACTTGTCTCGAAGTCTTTGTCTGCCGAGGTGTTAGCTAGGACAATACGCCGACGGCATTTATCGTGCATATTTGCGGCGCACGACGCAATGGCTGCGAGCTCGCCTGTTGTTGCCGTGTTTTTCACGCTGACGCGCGAAAATTGCACATTTTTACGGTAATGCGAAACGGCACGTTTTGCTGCGTTTTTCACGTTTGATATTGTTGTGACATTGTACCAATGGCGTGCGAAATAACTCCAAGAAGTTTGCGTGAAAAGGGGCCTTGACTTCGCTGAAGAAGTCAGTTAACTTTGGCGCATCGCAGTTCTCTTTGCGCATGTATAGCGTGGCAATTCTACAATCGTGATTTGTTTTATCTTCCTAAGTACTTTGTTGAAAACTTCAGACTCGAGGTCCATTGTAACAATCGCTATATTTGTCACATTTAGACATCGTACCAACTTAGTTGAGTTCACACGATGAGCAAACGTATTACATTTCAAACGTCTGGCTTTATAAGCTTTATTTATCATGTTATCACATTTTACAACAAAATTTCTCGGAGAGACTGGCTGTACGATCGTCTGTGCCAATGCACTCGCGCTAGCACGCGGTAATATAATACAAGGCATACTCACAGCGCAAGGGGATCACGGAATATATTGCGATTAAGTTGTAATCTTTGAATATGCAAATTATTTTCCGAAGTCCGCCGTTACATTATCAACACGTAATAATAATACTCAGTGTTAACGTGTTAACTTTCCATTTTGCCAACTCGTGAGGTCTCATATTATGGCTGCTGCGGATCACGGCCGCACTTGGGTAATTTCTAATGCGCGTGGCGATAGCGCTGATTAGCGATATAATTCCACATATTTTCTTATTTTATAATCGTTACTGTTTTACAATCATTTGCTATGCTTATCTCTGGAAGGAGTAAATGAACGGAACCGGCAATCGTGTATCAAACTATGCTACATTAACTCTTTACTTCTACGTGGACATTATATGAACAGTTAAATTGCTCTCATAAATAATTTATAGTATGACGATTATCTTGATGTAATTGATCTTATCGATCATGATACTTTTGTAAAATAATTTAGGTTTATATTCCGATTATTTCATTGTATCATTCCACTTAATCTTATCCTCATAATTGGTATTTCGCTTGCAAATGCTTGCATTTTTGCTTGTTATCTAAACTTTTTCTTCTATTACTTGCAACGTCTTTTAATGCTTTCGTGCATGTTCCAAATGACAACCAAACAATCTGGCAATATTTGCACTTTGCTCTTGTTAATACTTTTAACTTTATTTCTATTTTTACATTTGATATATTTCTACCTTTTCTGAAGCGTTTACGGATTTTCGAGCACTTTTACTGTCGTATGCTATTCATGCGTCAATAAGTTTCTTATCTGTTTTATGAGTGCGTAAGAATAACTTTATGGGGGGAGGCTTCTGGGTGAGGTGAATGATTCAGTCGACAATGTAGCGTGACGATTTTAGTTTGCAAAACTATAGTGGGATCACATTCGTGTCAGTAACTCATAAGTTTGTCTTTTTCTCTAGCAATCAATGTTATTTTGAATATCAATCAATTTATTTAAAGTTCATTTGAAATTTTAATTTAATCATAAATAAAAGAATGCTCATATACACGCGAGACATTTATTTATTATTTATTTACGTATAAGTTTTTTTAAAGTAATGATGCGGTAAAATGGATAGTCTTTAAACAAATTATTTTATTGCTAAATTAATACGTTTGCATAAATATGGCATAAATTAATGGTAAACTAACTTTATTGAATTTATCAATCTTTTAATTTAATTCTTTGAATTTAATTCTTTGCGTACGTTCTCAATCGTTCGTCTAATGTTTTCTGTTTATTAAAATTGTGAGAGTTGGATGATTTTTTTGATCTTCTTAACTGTATCTTAATATTATGCATTTATGTAAATGCTTAATGTTAATGCATGTTACGCTTTGAATCATCTTACGAATTTGTTACGATGCTTGAAACGCTTGAAACTTTACTATCTGTCTTATTATAAGCTTATCTCTAGCACGCATAGTTTTATAGTTTTCAGCTGTACTGATTTCCATTATGTATTATCATTTTATTTGATATCAATTAATGGGAAAAAAGATAGATGCTAATTCTCAAGATGATTGATATTGTCTCGTTATAGTAAATCTTTATATTTTCAGATTGGATGAGTCCATTTGACAGAGTAGTGTGCGGTGAGTACAAATTATCGAATGAGAACGAATTATTTATTACACACATATCTATCACATTGTGTATATATTCCATATTTCTGCAACTATTTTAATATTAAAAAAATAAAAATTTTATGTATAAAAATATTTTATGTATTAAAATATTTCTTTTTAAATATAGAATATGATAAATGATTTTAATTATTAGAATAGAGATTACCAAATTATATATATATATATATATAAAATATAATCTTTTAGTATACGGCCATTTATGGACTATAATTTGATTATTCATGCTTATATTATTATAAAACATAGATGATTCTCTGAAGAAATTAGGCAATCTATTTCGAAACGATTATACATAAGTTTATTTCGATCCTATAAATTATTTTAAATAATTCAATCCTTTCATGTAAGTTATTTTAACGCAACAATATAAACATTTCTACATTTTTCGTCATTTATCTTTCTACAAAGAATGTAATGTGCTTATGAAGTTTTTCACACAAGTTCTACAGTTCAGTTTAGAAACAGGAGGAATGGCTTTTCCCAAGTACGAAGTTACGCCCCATGTGTTAGCCATATTTCTTTCTTCAGTGCAATATAGAGAAAAGATACTTGTATTTGAATAGGGTACATTATAGCCGCACATTATAGTGTTTCTTGTTTCTGAAAACAGCGATTTGTTCTTCGTTTAACATTAACCATACGCAGGTATTACAATCCTTCGGAATTGAAAACATAAATATTTTTAAAGAGCTCTTTTCGAGAAATTACGACTGTTGCCGACTAGTCGCGAGTTTAACGAACAAATAATCAATGAATGCAAAAATGATGTAACTGCCAGAATATCGAGGTGTCAAGGTCATCGTTTGCAATTTACGTGAATTGTGCTACCAGATTGCACGCGCTAAGTCCTTTACCCTATTCATTTATGTTAGTTGCGCATGCAAGAAGGACATGTATATGGGCAACTACACCTGTCGTCGCCGTGATAATGTTAGTCGAGAATAATCTCCGTGACTATCTTTTATACGGCCACTTACGAGCCCACAATAGCGCAGTAAATACCGATTAGATAAAATTAAAACTTCAGCCGGCTTTTATCGCGATGGTTTGTTTACATTCGGGCGGATCATAATTTCAAATAGGCATTGGCGATCACAGTACAAAGTGTCCAACGTCAAAGAGAATGCTTAGTCTAGTAGGAAACCACATTCCGATATATTCAAATGAAATATATGTATGCCTGTTTTCATTCGATAAGCGAAACTATGCGTCATTGTACGACTATATTTTCAACTCTTCCTAATCATTGATAATCTGCTTAAAATTTGGATTGTACTATTTAGATTACGTTATAATTAAATACCTATAAGCTTTAACGATTCAGAAATTTATTTAATTATATTTTAATTAGCATTTTTTTAATCAAAGTTAAAAATGTAGAATAACGTGCATTTTTAAGGATGAGACAATAATTTTTGAAAGGTAGACAATATATTGTATCAACTTATATTTCATATAAAAAAATAAAACAAAATAAATTTTGAATATATTAATTTCTATGTCTGAATATATCTAAAAATATTTTGAAAATTAATTTCTGAATTCCCCATTTAATTAAATTGAACTGAAACAGATGGTTAAGCTTTATTATTATGATGATGTTTTAATACATCGACGAATATCGTCTCTTGCGAAAAAAAGAAGATATTTACTACATAGACGAATTTCGTGCACGCACAGTTGAAGATATAAATATTTCATCAAGGTTTGATATATAGTGGAATATTTACTGCACTACCGCATTTATCGCGTGTATTTTAAATTCAGCTCAAGTTCGCGAAACCCCTTTTTTCACTCACAGCTACACTCTCCGTTGTTCCCACTGATTTAATATACGATTAATACGTGAATGCACTAGACGTTGAATCAGCGAACGGCTCGGACTTGTCCTCGTGAAGGCCGTCTACATATCTCTCATTAAGATTTGTATCGTTTAGAAATGCAGGGTGTTCAACAAATTGCAGAATAATCGATGAAGCGATTCTCGTGAAGAAAAGCAAGTAAAAAATACGGAATAAATTTTATATCGGTTACATGGTGTTTTCGAAAAGATTTTAAATACGAAAATAAGGTAACTCTGACTATGTTTTGACCAGATTGCGTCTGAACAACGAGATGCTTGTGCGATTTTCAAATTTGTTTCGATATCTGTCGTTAATTGTTATCGAATTTTCGAAATTATGTAAAATACATTAAGAGTTTGTAACAATAATGCTTCAATCGTATCTAATTTTTACAAAAAATATAGGTACACAAATTTAAATATTTTATATAGATACATAAGTGTTGAATCAAATTTAAAATTTATTCTACATTTCTTATTCGTTTCCTTTATTACTAATTGTGCTGTATTTTGCTGAACATTATACCTATGCACAGTGTTGATTTTAATTCGCGGTTTCTTTTAATGATATGCATACAAATTACGAATGCAGTATAGCAATACATTAAGATAATCTTATCACCACTTTACTTATTTCGCTTATCACGGGTGAAATAAAAGGGGTTGATGTCTATAATATCTGTGACTGGGACGGATTTGAGAAATTTTTTTAAAAACTATGATTTTCTTTTTGTTTTCTATTTAGTTTAACAACAAAATGCTAAAAATATGAAAATTTTCGATAATTTCACGCATACTCAGCTGAAATTAAAATTATGCCAACTAATGCGGTTCAGGAATATGATAACCAAGTGAAATTGTTAACGAGGGCGACATACGAATTTCTAATCTATCTCTGGTACGCAATTACGCGAACATTCTCTGACATTGAGGCCAGCGAACGTCTAGCTGGATTACGGTGTGTACACGGGGACTAGCAGGAGATAATGTATAATTTATAATCAGGCCGATCCGCCGACAACGGCGCACCACTCCACGGACAGAGTCCACTGCCCCAAAAGCCGCCAACCCCTCATTAGCATTCGATGATGGCTGCCGCGTCCTGCAGCGTCGGTATTATCCCATTTCATCGCCCCTGCCTCCCCTACCTGGACCTATCTTCTCCCGCCTCCGATCTCGCGGGCTCTCCTCGTCTCTCACACGTAAACGTTTTCCTCCCTCGTCCCGACCCTCATCAGCATCCAGCGGCAGGTATCCAGCGGCATTGGCTAGAAAAAGAATAGCCCCCTTTACCCCTCCCTATCGAAATTTTATCCGGAAAATTTCATCTGGAGAATTCTGCTTTATACTACGGCCCGATGTTTTCCAGTTTTCTATTTTTCCACCGCCTTTTTCCGGTTCGCCGTTAATATACGTCTCTTGTCAGACTCTAAATTCGACGCGAAATGTCGTTGCCGAAAAGATAAGGTTCACATGTAACAAAACGCAACGTTTCCGTACTTCGGGGCGTACGAAATTGCGGGTTGATTATAAAGCGGATCGTAAAAGCTAGACCTTTGGGGAACGCGGTCGTTTGAAAAATTGAAAAGGGGGGAGGGGGCAGACAACGATCAAGATTTTTATACTCGTCGGTACAGTGTGACCGCTTTTGACATCTCCCGAGGGAAGCCACGCTTCCGGAGACAGGTCGGAATCGTGTTGTCACAGAGATTATTGAAACTGCAGTTTTATGGGCCTTAAAAGCAGTTTAATTGCCGTTATATAAGTGTTTATACGCTGCCAGGTTTGGCCGCCGCCTGCACCACCCCAAACGTTTATTTTATGGTCATACGGCGGCGGCGCGTACCCCGTTATGTCGCGTGCCGAAGCCATCACACCAGTCAAATCCTCAGGCCGACCGGTCGATTCCGAATATCGGCGTACATTTACGCGACGGCCACCCTGAAGTGTAAGGTATTCGGAATCGTGCAACCGACCTGTGGATTTAACCGATGTAACATCTTAGGAAGGTGTAAGACTTACACTTCGGTCCAAATTACCTACATTTTTTTAATATCCTTGAATATTTCACCACTTTTGAGATAATATTGAATGCCAAAATAATATCATTACATACGTGAGAACGTTGTGCGAATAATATGATCTGTATATTTGCTAGAATACTTTTTAAGAGCGTTTTAAATGTTACGATGGAATATAATTTAAGGTGAAGCACTATAATTTCATATATTACAATATTTTTGATAATTATTTAAATTTTATTTAATGTATTTTAATGTTTTCTTAACGTTATTTGCAATGCTTGTCTCGAGAGATTTATATTCTTAAAAGAATTTTTGAATTTTAAATATTTTCTTTGAATATTCCGTCGTACATATGTCCTACGATTCATGATATACAATTTAATTTTCCATTGTTGTTTACTTTATTGAACAAGAAATCATGTAGTGTGGTCCAAAATTTTTTTATTGTATCTTAACTCTATTTCCGTTCATTTTCTGCATTTTTTACTGCATCCTTTGTTGTGCGTCTTTGTTTGTTTTTTTATCACTATGACAGCAATAAAATTTGGAATGTATGAAAAGAGAAAAGCAAAGCTAGCGCAAAAATCAAGGACATTTTCTATGAGATGTGTAAATCTTGACGTTGTTTTGTGTTGAATCAAGTGAAAGTAAAGGCTTTAAGAATCGTATCTTACACGAAAATCAACCGTGTCGCGTTTATGGTAAAGGGCGTCACGCGCATTCTTTTCTATTGATTTATTTCTTTTGTGCATTCTTTTGTCGAAATCAATACTTGATTTTACCCGATTGTATTGGAGTTACATACAAATAGATAACCAAAGGTTTTATAAAATCAACTCTTTGACTCTTGAAATATTTAAAAAAATATTTAAAATTCCATGCTTATCAAATTAATCGTCTATTTTTGTTTGAAGAAGAATGTCAAGGAAACAATTTTCAGGTTATAAATCATAAAAAATACAGTGTTCCTAAGAACTAAACTTCAGTCACGGTTTAAATAGATAGTTAAATTTTAATTTCTTGGTTTAATTTGAAATGGATTTTATATATATATATTTGAATAGATCCGTAACTGGAAC